AAGGGGAGGAGCAAGAGAAAGAGAGGTTGAGAGGCCGAGAGAGTGAGAGAGAGAGAGAGAGAGAGAGAGAGAGAGAGAGAGAGAAAGAAAGAGAGTGAAAGGAGAAGGCTTAATCTCCCTCTCTCAGTGTATAGTGAGAAATGTGTCTCAACAGGTGTGTGAAGCATGTTTTACCTTCATATTTTACCCACTGCATCCTTTAGCTCCTTGACAATTGTGTGTGTGCATGTGTGTGTGTGTGCGTGCTTGATAGCATGTGCCTGCGTGTGTGTGTGTGAGAACAGTAGGTCTTGTCTGCAAAATAGATAATAGCACAGTGGCATTGCTCTCTAGTCAAATGAACAGTCTCTATGGTGTACTAGGCTCTAGGCTGCCAGGTTCAAATAATTTAAAAACATTTCAAATAACTTTAAGCGTTTACTCTAGCCTGCCTAGAGTGTCAGATTGGCCGGAGATTACAGCTTTGAGACTATTCTATTGATCCATGAAGCCAGTCAAACTCAATCAAGCACAAAGTGTTTGGAATGATTTCAAATACTGTTTGAACCCAGGTCTGCTAGGCGCTAGGCCAGAAGGATGCCAGGGGGTAGATTTAGGAGTTTAGTCACGGTGGAGAGGGGCTGCCTGGGCTAGGCAGGCGGCCATATCCCCCTTCTCCACCCTTCTTACACTGGGATGAAGGGAGGGAAGGGTGGAGGGAGGGAGAGAGAGGAGAGGGAGAGAGAGGAGAGAGAGGGAGAGAGAGGAGAGGGAGAGAGAGGAGAGGGAGAGAGAGGGAGGGAGAGAGAGAGAGGGGAGAGAGACAGAGGAGAGACAGAGGAGAGGGAGAGAGAGGGAGAGAGACAGAGGAGAGGGAGAGAGAGGAGAGGAGAGGAGAGAGAGAGGGAGGGAGAGAGAGGAGAGGGAGAGAGAGGAGAGGGAGAGAGAGGAGAGGGAGAGAGACAGAGGAGACCAGCAGAGGTTCCCTCCCCTCTCCAACCTCCACACACTGGAATAGAGGAAGGGAGGGGTGGAGGGACAGGGAGAGAGAAAGAGAGAGCAGAAGAGCAGGAGACAAAAGCATGTTTGTGTTCATGAGAACTTGAGGGACTTAGACAGGGGCTCTACTATGTGTGGAAGCAGTGTCAGCCTCGTCATAGAGTTAGAGAGAGGGGGCTAGGAGGTATAGAGAGAGAGAGAAAGATAGAGAGAGGGGGGGTGAGAGAATGGGAGAGAGAGGGGGGTAGAGAGAGAGAGAGAGAGAGCGGAAGAATGGGAGAGAGAGGGGATAGGAGGCATGGAGAGAGAGAGGGGGGGGAGAGAGAGAGAGGAGAGAGGAGAGAGAGAGAGAGAGGAGAGCGGAGAATAGGAGCGAAGCGGGATAGGAGGCCTGGAGCGAGAGGATGAGGGGGGGGAGATTAGAGAGATAGAGGGGGGGGTGGAGAGAGAGAGAGAGAGAGAGGAAAGGAGGCATGGACAGAGAGAGTTGAGAGAGAGAGAGAGGAAGAATGGGAGAGAGAGATGTAGAGTAGAGAGGGAGGGACACAGAAAGAGAGAAAGAGCGAGGGAGAGATGGAAAGAAAAAAGAGAACAACTGTAAATTATACGGTAATTTTTGTCATTATCAACATTAAAATACTCTGAAACGTTTTACTGCAGCATACTATAAATTATGGTGCATTGTGGGAAAATGTTATGGGCAGGGAAAGAATTGCTGTATTTCTAATGGTACTGTAATTAAACCCCACAGAATACAGTAACGTACCGTATCTTTGGAGCGCAAAGAAACACTTTGACCACTAGTGGGGGCATGGTATTGTTGTTTCTGGCTCTTTAACATATTTTGAGGCATGCCTTGTAAGACGCTACATTTGTTGCACCCGAGAGGGAGAATGTGGTACCAGTTTAACTCCTGTGTGGTTATAGTGCCCCACCAATTTAAAATGAATAGGGGACAGATTGGAGTGGCAGCAAGTCTTAAACCTTAAATGTTTTAGCATTTTGCAATGTACTTTTGGTCTGTTTTGCCCTGTAGTCTCTGCCAGTTTGGAAGCCTTTCTTAAGGCCTCTAGAAGTGCAAGTGGTATAAAACACCAACTATTCATTAATAAACTGTAATACACACACACACACACACACATTGATCCAAACACACACTGTCACACACACACACATTGATCCAAACACACACTGTCACACACACACATTGATCCAAACACACACTGTCACACACACACACACTCACACATTGATCCAAACACACACTGTCACACACACACATTGATCCAAACACACACTGTCACACACACACACATTGATCCAGACACACACTGTCACACACACCACACACACACACACACACACACCACACACACATTGATCCAAAAACACACTGTCACACACACACATTGATCCAAACACACACTGTCACACACACACATTGATCCAAACACACACTGTCACACACACACACATGATCCAAACACACACTGTCACACACACACACACACATTGATCCAAACACACACTGTCAACACACACACAATTGATCCAAACCACACACTGTCACACACAACACACATGATCCAAAACACACACTGTCACACACACACACACATGATCCAAAACACACACTGTCACTCACACAACACATTTGATCCAAAACACACACGTCACAACACACATTGATCCAAACACACCACACTGTCAACCACACACACACACACTCACACATGATCCAAACACACACTGTCACACAACACAACAGTGATCAAACACACATGTACCACACCAACACATTGATCCAAACACACACTGTCACACACACACATTGATCCAAACACACACTGTCACACACACACACACATGATCCAAAACACACTGTCACACACACACACACATTGATCCAAAACACACTGTCACACACACACACACATTGATCCAAACACACACTGTCACTCACACACACATTGATCCAAACACACACTGTCACTCACACACACATTGATCCAAACACACACTGTCACACACACACACACACACTCACACATTGATCCAAACACACACTGTCACACACACACATTGATCCAAACACACACTGTCACACACACACACACATTGATCCAAACACACACTGTCACACACACACACACATTGATCCAAACACACACTGTCACACACACACACACATTGATCCAAACACACACTGTCACTCACACACACATTGATCCAAACACACACTGTCACTCACACACACATTGATCCAAACACACACTGTCACACACACACACACACTCACACATTGATCCAAACACACACTGTCACACACACACATTGATCCAAACACAAACACAGCCCTGCACCTCTTCTATTCTCCTGGGGAGTGTGTTTGCCCAGTCAGTCCTCTGTCTTTATTGAGTAAAAATGGCTTTTGATTGAGCATGTGACATTTAAGGTAATGACTGTGTGTTTGTGTGTGTGTGTGTGTGTGTGTGAAGGGAGGGCCTGTAAAACACACTGTTATTATACCGCGCTCCATTGGGCACAGATCTAGGATCACCCTATCATAACCTTACCTTTTGAGGGAAAGTGCCACAAACTGACCTTAGATCAGTTTCTGCCAGGACAGAGATTACAGTGAAGGGTCGGGGAGGTACTCAGATCCAGACTCATTGCGGAGAAGAAACTAACGTCGCCAGGTAGCTAGGCAAGGGAGAGAGGGCACACACACTCACACCTTTGGGTCTGTATAGGGACCACTGCCCTCTGCTGGTAGAAGAGAATATGACTCTTCTAGTATTTAGGCTGTCCCTGAGCCTTGTTCATCACACACACACACACACACACACACACAAACTAAATCAGACAATAGCCTTTGGAGAGATCCACCAAGCATTTGACTTCTCCTTTTCAAGTCAAGACAGTGTGTGTGTGTGTGTGTGGTGTGTGTGTGTGTGTGTGTGTGTGTGTGTGTGTGTGTGTGTGTGTGTGTGTGTGTGTGTGTGTGTGTGTGTGTGTGTGTGTGTGTGCATGCGTGTGTGTGCGTGCGTGCATGCTTGTTTGTGTGACAACTGAAAGCCTTTGTTGTGGAATGTCACTAAATGCTCCTTAATCCACCATTACTACATTTAATCTACATTTTATATTGTAGGTAGATGCCATTGTACAGAAGTCAATAGCGCACACACACAAACCCACACACACACACTTACACACAGACACAGACACAGAGAGCTAGACAGAGAGACAGACACACACACACACAGACACAGACACACAGCTGTCTCCAATACTGCATACTGTATTGGTGTTTCTGTGGCTTCCTGGCTATAGTAAGTATAGCCACTTTCCAGCCTGCCATCGGTAGAGTGGGAGATCTTGTTGTAACAGAGATCACAATAGAAGGACAGAGTGTCCACTAGAGACTCTCTCTCTCTCTCTCTCTCTCTGTCCCACTCTCTCTCTCCTCCTCGTCTCTAAAGAGATAGAGTTGTGGTCTCAGCTCCATGTAGGGGGTGCCCGTAAACACAGATCTAGGATCAGAAATAGAACTCCATGTGGAACAAGGGTAAGGGGTAATGTCTAGAGAACAGAAAACTGACAGACTAAAGACATGTAACCACACATTATTGCTCTTATGTACATGATTTAATAAAAGTTCACTCGTTTTGGCAGCAAGAGGCTAACTTGGTCCTAGATCTGTTTGTGCTATCGTTCCCCTCTTTGCCAGGCCGTGTTGTGCCAAACTAAAGCTAGCAAGATAATAATAATAATAATAATAATAATATGCCATTTAGCAGACGCTTTTATCCAAAGCGACTTACAGTCGTGGGTGCATACATTTTTACGTATGGGTGGTCCCGGGGATCGAACCCACTACCTTGGCGTTACAAGCGCCGTGCTCTACCAGCTGACCCTCATTACCTGGGCTGTTTTGGATCGCCTCCATCCTGTTTTTTCTCTGATAAAGAACCAGAATTAACTAACGTTCCCCCTCACTCTCTCCCCCCTCCTTCCATCAGACCATGTCGGAGTACAGCTCTTTGCTCAGTGACCTGTCTGAGAACATCACCAATGAGGACTTGGACCAACTGAAGTCTGCCTGCAAGGAGGACATCACAGAGGACCAGAGCAACACCATCACCTCCTCCAAGGAGTGGTTCAACTACCTGGAGGAGAATGAAAAGCTGGCACAGGGTGAGGAGGGAGAAGTTTCCAGGTTTCCCAGATCAACATTTGGGAAGGGAAAGGAAGGGAGGGAGGGAGGGGAGGGAGGGAGGGAGGGAGGGAGGGAGGGAGGGAGGGAGGGAGGGATGGTGGGATGGAGGGAAGTGGAGAGTGATTTCATTACCTGGTGAAGAATGACAAACTGGCACAAGGTGAGGGAGGGGGAGAGAGGGAGAGGAGGGGGAAGGAGGCTGCAAATGAACACAGATCTTGAAGGCACAATGTTTAAGAAAAGTAACAAATTAAATCACGCTGCCAGATTATAGTAATGTTTACAGTACTTTTGCACCTTAAAAATGTTTCCCTCTTTACAGATAACCTGTCGTACATCGAGCACATCTTTGAGATCTCACGGCGACCAGACCTGCTGACCCGGGTCATCGAGTACCGCACCACGGTTCTCAAGATCTCTGAGGACGATGAGATCGACACCAAGCTCACACGCATCCCCTCCGCCAAGAAATACAAAGGTCACTTCTCTTTACTATACCTCTGTCTTTTTTTCTGTTTCTAACGTTCGGTCCTTTTTGTTTATATTTCTTCTTCCTTCTCCTTCTCCGAGGGAACGGGAGCGGGAGAGAGAAAGGGGAGTTGGGGGGGGAGAGAGAGGGAGAGAAAGAAGAAAGAAGAAAAAATAAAGATAGGAAGGAAGAAAGAAGAAAGGAACAAAAAAGGAAAAAGGAAAGAAAAGAAGAAAGAAAGCAAGAAGTACAACGACCATACGTAAGAAGCAGAAGTCCGTAACACTACCTCCGCAATCCGTCAATACCCACCCTCCATATCCCTCCGACCCACAAATAACCCGCCACTCATACCCCCCCTCCCTCCTCTCTCCACTTTTTCCTCATCTTTTCTCTTTTTCTCTGAGTTCTCTTTCCTAATCTGTCTCTAACTATAAACTGTATTTCTCTGAGCTCTCTTTCCTAATCTGTCTCTAACTATAAACTGTATTTCTCTGAGCTCTCTTTCCTAATCTGTCTCTAACTATAAACTGTATTTCTCTGAGCTCTGTCTTCTTTAGTCCTTCCTTGAGGCGTTCTTCTCTTAGACTTTCTAAATTATTTTGTTCTTTCTTATTTGACTTTTTCTTCATTTATTTTCAGTCATTCTCTCACGTCTGTTGCAGCAGCTTACTGAGACCTTTCTCTCTCCTCTTTCTCTCTCCACTCTCTCTCGCTCTCTCTCTCCTCAGATATCATTCGCCAACCCTCTGAAGACGAGATCATCAAGCTGGCTCCTCCTCCTAAAAAAGTGTGAGGTCGTCACCTCTGATCTGTGCACTTTGACCCCTGGCACTCCAACCATCTCGACCCCCCTCCTCCTCCCGCCTCCCCCCCAGTTCCACTAACACAAACCATATTACACAGAGACGCTAGCAACCCCTCTCCAATCAACCAATCAGATCGCCACGATGCTTCACCGCCTCTTCTTCCAAGGCTAAAGGAAGAGTTCAAGATGAAAGACGGAGAGAATCAATAAGAGAAAGAAAGACAGAGCCAAATCCCCCTTGTTAAAAGATGTGTTGGTCAGTTTAAAGCTTGTGTACGTACCTGTACTTGTAACACTGTTTTGAGAAATTGTGTGAGTGTGTGTCTGAATGCTTGCATGCGTGTGTGTGTGTGTGTGTGTGTGTGTGTGTGTGTGTGTGTGTGTGTGTTCAAACATGTCTTTCTTTGTGTTTGTATGGGACCCCCTCCAGTTCGACCTAGAAATGTTGCAGTAAAAGCACCATTATGTGAGATACAGTATTTACATGACCTGTGTTAGGCCATTAGGATGAACATGCTGCCATTAGGTACAAAGATTTGCAACCATATCCTTCAATCAATCTTGCAGTGGACTTGCATTGCTATTCCACTAACAGGCAAATCAATGGGAGACTAAGTGAAAATATCACTTAAGTGGAAGTAGGATTCCACTTAACTTCGCATGATGCATTATGCTTTATCAGTGGAGCAAAAAGAAAGCTATAGTACAGGAGTCATATTTCCTTAACTCAAAACTCAGATGAAATCATCATTTTAGGTATTCATAGAAAAAGCCAATATTTGCCTTTAGTCTAGCTATAGCATGGAATTATAGAAGAAGAAAATATTATAATGATATTATATGTATTCTTATATTTATATGGTATTACACCATGACAATAGTATCATTTGATCGTCTTTTGTTTTGTTGACTTAAAATGAACATGCTATCCTATACCCTACATCATTATGAGGACCAATAGAATTCACATACATGGGGCAAATAAAGCCTATAGGCTACTCTCTGCATTGTCCATACTAAGCTTTGAGTATGTAATTTATAATGATATAATAATGTATTATATATACATATATAATTATATTTTATATACATATATCATTATTTAAGTCTCTGGTATGAAAGCTTGAACTCTAACTCCACGGCTAAGTTTAGGCTAATGCTACAGTGCTGTGTAATAACAGTCCTGTGTAATATTAGTCAAATAATATTGTTTTTAAACAGTCACACTTATTTACCCTCGTTGTGATTTTACACAAAGATTCAATGCTCCTTTACTGTGAAATCGTATTATAAAAAGACACCTTATTGTAAAGCCTTATTATAAAAACATATACAACAATTATTATATTGATCAATTTAAAAACTCTATATGAAACACTATCTGATATTGGAAAAATAAAAAATATATATTTTATACGGATATAAAATATGTATTATATTTACTGTGTTTGAATAAGAACAAACGTCTTTCTGCTCCGAAAGTGCCACTCAAATTCCAAGCCCACATTTTTTCAGGACATAAAACAACTGACCAATCAGGGGGAGGGACGACAGCCTCTGAAAGAAATGTAAGGAAATAACAAAATGGTAGATAGATGAAGAAAGAAAACTGACCACAATATCATGAATTACAATATATAAACCAATGGCATACATAAATAGTTCATAATCTGTTTTGTGAAAAGCCCAAGTACTGCACTAATCATCAATACACACACAACAGTGCACTACACTCTAAATCAGGGGTGTCGAACTCATTCCATGGAGGGCCTAGTGTCTGCAGGTTTTAGTTTTTTCCTTCCAATTAAGACCTAGACAACCAGGTGTGGGGTGTTCCTTACTAATTAGTGACCTTAATTCATCAATCAAGTACAAGGGAGGAGCAAAAACCCGCAGACACTCGGCCCTCTGTGGAATGAGATTGACAACTGTGCTCTAAATAATCTCATCACCTAATCCCTAACACCATACATAAAACAAAGCAAGACTGTTGATTCAAATAAACAAATTACTCGTATATATTACACTGTGTTTCCTCCCTACGAAGAAGCCTTAGCGGAATTCAGGGCACACACTCCATGACAACTAATGTGTAAAATGTGAAAATGTGTGTGAGCATGTGTGGTTGCACCCGCACACTTGTACAGTCAGTACACATCCACGTTCAATATCACTCGTAAAGAAGGGGGACTATTTTGTGAGTTTGCTGAGGGATTCACGACTCACGACTGGGTCTGTGTAGATGTCTGCCAAACTGACGGGTCTCGGCAGGGACACTGATTACAAGTGTGTGAGCTGAGGTCTCCTGATCCGGATGAAACCTTCACTGATGTCCTAAGATCTCAAAAACACCTATACAACGAACACTCTGTAATTGCACAGTCACGGCCACCACTTCCTCCAGGAAAAACTACCTTTTCCCTCCCATAACCCCTACTCTCACCTCTCCCCACACCACCCTCTTTCCCTACCCCTACCCCCAGTGCCAATGACCAAGACTTTTAATTCCATCGCAGTTTCTGTGATCTGGTTTTGTATTGCTCGCTGTTAAACGTGTAGTGTTGGAACTGATTAGGATCCTATGCATTTATCTTTGATATATACACCTCCACATTTATTATCCTCATTATGTAGACCAGGGACTGTATTCATGAAGCGCTTTAGAATAGGAGTCCTGATCTAGGATCAGGTCCCCCCTGTCTATATAATCATATGCATTATAATCTGAAAGGCAAAACTGATCCTAGATCAGCACTCCTACTCTGAGACTAATGAATTTGCCCCAAACTACTGAATTGAGTCAAAAATAGTATTGTAAATAAATTCAGGCCAATTGTTTGTAAGGTTGACAGCCAAGCAAGCCCCCCTTAGGAAGCCAGCACCCCTTTATGGTGAAGCGGTGGCTGCTGTTAATGAACCCTGTGCAAAAATGTGTAATCGGATCCTAGATCTGTTGTTTGGTGCGGTTAGGTTAACCTGATCTTAGAACTGTTGCTAGGGAGCAGCAGTTCGTATTGGTAGGCAAGGGCAAGCAGTTGTACTTACCGCTATGATCTGTGGGTGCTGGTAGACAGGGTAGCTATGTGCTCACCTGGAGGAAGAGTTTGTGTCGGATGACCATTTTAGATCCTCTTAGGCTTACTATCTCACTTACCACTAACAGAGCTCTGGAGAAAAGCAGAGAAATTGTCGTTACAGTAATAGGAAGTTATATATAAAGTATGTCCAAAAACATTGGGAGAATACATCTTTTAAAATCATTTTTTGTGTGTAGATTCGTCTGAGGATCGCAAGGGAGTTGTTTTGTTGTTCGTTTTTTGTCTTGTTTTTGTTTTGTGTGTTAAAAGAAAAAAATGCTTAAACAGTAAGTAGGGACTTATGAAATTGTGTTTGTGACCATGTTACTTAGGTATTTTTTCATGTCAGTATTCCACTATGGTTATTGGACTGTGCCATGTTAGCGATTGTGTGGTAGGATATCAGTAGTTAGAGAGATGGGTGAACCTCACACACACACACACAACGCACCGATAAACTCAATTATAATACAAATCAATGGCCCTATACCACTAAGGACCAACCTTCACTTTACAACATTCAAGATTCTCCTCATATCTAAACACATTTGTATTTGGGATTGTTTACGTGTTGTTGTAGCTACTGTAGCCTATGCATATTTGTATATTTCAGCCCAGAAAATGAATTCAAGCATTGAGGAAGTTGCCATATGTGTGACTAAGAATGCAAATCCCCCTTTCATTCCTGTTCTCAGAAAAAAACACTGTAATCACCACTTCCTCTTTCTCGCTTCCCCCTCTTCCACACCTCCTCTTCCGCTCCCTTTCTCCCTCCCCATGGCAACTCTGATATAGTCCTTTCCCCATTGGCTACAATACAGAGACAACAAGAAAGGACTCACACTGTGTGAGATATCACCATAGGTTCTTAGGTGACGTTTTAAGTTCATGGTTCCTTTTTAATCCAAGCATACATATGCCAAGTACAGTAACATCGATAGAACTGGTCGTTGCTAAGATGGCCGAGAAATTGTTCCATTCTGATTCATTGGGGCTTTATGACATCAGCCTATCTAATGTTCGATATCTATGGTAAAATCTCAAACCTATGAGGCTCTATGTGGATTTCATTTATTTCTGATTGGTTAGAAATTATGTGTATGACATCGTTTAGTTTTATATG